TTGAGAGTTTAACGAGTTGGATTAATATCTTCGCATTGTCTCAAAAGAAATAACAAAAGCAGCCCATATGGAATGGCAAGGATTTTATTTAATAAAATAATTAATAATTTATTATTTATTTAATAATGGTAGTCGTGAATTTAAGAAATATAATTTCATTTTAATTTATAGCCTTACAAATGTGCCTTAAAAAGGAACTCCGTTTCGTTGTCCTTTAATGTTAAAAGACAATGTTTAGCTCTACGATATCCCGTGCGTTTCAAATAATTGAAAATAAAATCCTAATTTGTTCTATTAATTTCCTTCTTTGGCACCTCCCTCCACCCACACAAAAAAGACAGATAAAATGAAAGCTGTAGGTTATAAACAATTATTATTTTTCAATATCTGTTCTATTTTAATTGAATTCTAATAGAAACAGAATAAAAGAAAATGTTGTTTGTTTTTATGGGATGGCCACAGTAGTAGCAGTTTATATCATCTTACTTTCTATATATATACATACATAACAAATTACAAAGTTATATACTATTAATACTAAGAAAGAAATGACAATTTTTTGTCTTGGATTTTTAAAAGTGTTTCTAAGAGGGTAATTGGAAACTTGAGCTATAGGTGTTTATGGTTCTGAAGCCTTCTTGATATTTAACCAAACACCCCACGCCACTAAATCTTGCGATTGGCGACACATTATAAATACCGTCGAGTTCAGAATAAAGTCCGTTGTGGAACTCACTCAACTTTCTTGTTGTCTGTAGTACTTCATAAAGCTACAACATTAAGTGGAAGTCTTTCATAGAGTTTCACATAACATATTTGGAAAATTAACTCTAGAATTTCTGTAGGAGCAAGAGTGATTAACGTATCAGGCTGGGGATCCGAGGGTCTTGGGTTCGAGATGTGATACTACTAAATGTGTTTCGCAATTTTAGTTGTGGGTGCGTTATGAACGTGACAGTCAGTCCTGCTATTCGGTTAACAGTCGATGCTTCAGGCGGCAGGGGTTGCCAACTGGTTACATTTCCTCTGGTTCTGCAATTCAAAATTGGTAACAGCTATGTCTGAACGTTACATAGGTTTAAAAAATCAACAAAAAAACCTGGTTGTTTGGCCCATTGTTTGCATAAGATGGAAAAACAAAGAATCATTGATGTATTCCAATGGACTTTTTAAAACATTTTTAGGCAAAAGAAAGTTCTTGTAGTCCAAATCTGAAGACCTCCTAGCCAAGTTATACAACATTCTAATTTTCGAAGATCATAGTTAATTGGAACACTTGGAGTCAACGTTCCTGACCACAACTAATTTAAAACATATTTTACGAAAGACGTACGTAGATGATACATTTACTCTTTGCCAAACGGACGTGACACTATAACAAAATTCCTTGAACATCTCACTGCCATGAACCCAAATATCTACTTCACTTTTCAAACAGAAATCACTCCATTTCCTAGATGTACTACTGATCAAGCAAGATCACTACCACACTGTAGAGATCTACAGAAAACCAACCTACACGAATAGATACTTAAAATTCAATAAGGAAGACCCAACACAGCTCTCTGTGAGGACCGCGGTCTGTTCTCGTGTTTATGGAATCACACTACCACAGACACTTTGAATGAAGAAGATCTCATCATAGAGACTGAAAAAAAGTTAAAGAAAAAAACACGTCAGGTACTTTCTCGTTCGTAAAAGACCTCTAAGATGTTCAAAATATTACCTAAACCTACATTAAAAATAACCATCACTGCAAACTATTTATGCACCAATGTTCTTGTGGGCCCATTACTTTCTTGGGTATGGGCTCCTAGTAACATAAGAACAACACAATTCCCCCCCCCCCAACCGAAAACAACAACAAAAAACTATGTTGCAATTAATCCCACTAATTATTACAAGAGTGTCTCTCCCTGTGTGATTGGCACAGAAAATGAGTGATTTCATTCTTTTGTTTCTTTTTTTTTAGTTCAAGTTCTTTACACAGACAAAAATTTAACTAAAATACACTCAATATAATGCAATATGTAGACTACATTTCTAGTGCAATACACACACACACACACACACATATGGAAACAAGTCAGTAATTTGAGGGTTAATCGTAAAGTTTGGTTGCTGTTTCGTACTTTCAAGCCAGCGCTATTTCCGTGAGAAATTTTCAATGCATTAGTCTATTAAAAATACATTAATGTATCCAAATACGAATATTAGTGTGTACAGTATAAGACAAAGCTCTGTATGCATAGCTCATCATCGATATATGTACAAGTTTTCTGTGGTTACACACTTGGTTTTACGCTATAATATTCAAGTTAAAACTGTGTTCAATATATTCTATGACCATTCTTGTGCAGAGATTTCATAAAATTAGTAAGAATATTCAACGTTTAAAATGCACAATAAATATTGTATAAAGTTAAAAGTAAAATACACAATTAAAAATTCTAAATGTTTCGGTGCAAAAATTTCCACCATCTTGTAGAGTTTTTAATTGTGTATTTTACTTTTAACCTTATACGATATCTATTGTGCATTTTTAAACGTCGAATGTTCTTACTTATTTTACAATATGTATTCATCGGTGTATAAGAAATAATTTCTGAAGTGTATTACCAAACTTATGAATTCCATTGAGACTGTTATGCTGATTTGAAAAACCCTCCGACTTCATTGAAAGGGTAGTTTTATGGTGTCCTTAAAGTGAGAATGAAAATTTGTTTCTCATCAGAATTTTCACAGTCCAAAGCGTGAAAACGGACTGGTTTCAAAAAACGTGTGTTCTTCCTAGTGATTTTTCCATGTTAAAAGCACTATGAAACCTGAAAAAAACCCAAAAAAAACTGGTCTTTCGATGGATAAATTACTTACGTTTAATAAATTATTTCTAACTTAAAGAAAGGCTGGTTTTATGAATTCGAAATTCTTATGAAAACGGTGGCTTCATGGATGGACATATGCTTTAAAAAAGCTGTTTTCATGATGAATGAACTTTACATCTCAAATAGAACTAGTTCCATGATACATGATAAATTCATTTGTAAGAAAAGCTGGTTTTATGGTGGTGGAACACCAGCTCTAGAAAAACTAGTTTTATTGTAGGGAACACCTTAGCGCCAATAAAAGATGGTTTCATATATGGGTGAACATCTTGGCTCAAATAGAAGCTGGTTTTGTGTGGATGAAGATCTCAGCTGAAAAATAATATCGCGTTTCTTGATGGATGAATATATGAGCTATAAGAAAAACTAGTTTCCTTGTAGATAAGATCTTAGCTTTAACAAATCCGGTGTTATGATAAATGAACTTTCAAAATTTAAGAACACATAAAATTTATAAAATGGTGATTTCGTTAGGCAGAAAACCTAAAATTACGTGTGTGTCACGTCATATCACGCTTGATTTCTCTAAATAGGAGGTCATAAAAGCCAAAATGCATTTATCCAGATAGAATAGTTCGATTACTGTCTGTCCATTACGATTTTAGTGACGGCGATGCATGGGGCCGTGAGGGAGGGGGTGGGGTGCCTTATAAGTGTAGTGAGTATCGATATAATAAGTCTAAAGTAAATATGCAGCGTGGGATCACCTAGTATATAGCCACGTGCATAAAATTTATCATGAAAGTAAAAATA